ATGAGGGCCTGAAAATGGCCCTCCGTTTCAGGCTGAAAACTCTGGGTCTGAAAAGACCCAGAAATAGGCTGAAACGAGGTAGGGCCTGCAGGCCCTCGTTTCTCAGCATCCAGGCTGAAAAGAACGGGGCCTGTAAGCCCTAAGTTTTAGGCTTTCAGGCTGAATGTCCGGGACGGGCCCTGTAGGGCCCGTGTGGCTACGCAGTATGCCACAGGTAGTCAGCAGGGCGGTTCCCCTGGTCGCCACCAGGGGGAACCAGTGGGTTGGGGCTTAGTCAGGAGTCAGGAGCTTTTGCCTTTACTTAAGTCTGTTTCAAATGCCTAAACTTTACTTTCAGTTGTACTTCAAAAGGGACACTGGACCCGTTTTCCAGCAGGTGCTGCTCCTTACCAATAGATTGGAGTTGACTGTCGGAAGGGGCACTAGTGGGGGCTGCTTGTATCACCCACACTAGCGACCTACATAAAATAAAAAATTAAAAAATCAAGCAACTCGTTTAGACCACACAAGCTACCAGAAAACCTGGTGGAGGTAGAAAGGTCTCTTTTGAGTCTTTTCGTTACTCACTCATTTTTAATATTGTCAACAGCATCTGTATTGTGCTTGTCTTGAGTAGTCGTAAAGGTTTCCAGCAAAACAGGCCGCATAATCCCTGACAGTTTGGTATCTACAAGCAGCCAGTCTCGGATGTCCATTTCCTTGTAATATCTTTGTATTCCATCCAGGAGGCAAGATTCTGCCAAGCAGAGCATTTGTGTGATCTTGTCAAATAGAGCAATGAATGATTCGTAGCGGTACATAACCGGGGCGCAGCCTTGTCTGCACATTATGTAGAGATAGAAAGCGTCAGATTGCGTTTGGGTTTGATACATAGTGATTGGAAAAATGGTACACAAATGTTCATGCAGATAGGTTTGACATTAAGGTCAATACATGGAAACATGATTTAAACATCTGAAACGTACATCCCAATTTCACAGCAAGCATGTCTTCTGCATGTCATTGGATGAGATGCCCATCCGCACAGCACCACACAACCAGGAAATGTGGTTCAGACATTGGTGTCTGTCTCATTGAAGAAATGTATTGCATGGAGACTGAAACATCTTTCTTGTGAGGTTTGACCTCTGTAGCTCTAGCTGCTTCACAGGAGGGAGGGGTTGTGCTGCACACGTGGCCCTTTCTTAGGATGGTATTGGTTTCTCATTTGAATAGGGATGAGGCTTATAACTTCAATGTTGGGTATTCCATCTGAACTAGAGGGTCCTTCTGCCCCTGTGGTCCTGCAGTTGCCATTGCGACTCATATCGCTGCTATTGCTGACAATTCGATCCCTGTTACAAGACAAGCTGCTGCTATTGCTACTGTTACAGCCGGTGTTCAAGGAGAGCAGGCGAAGGCAGAAACCAGAACTCCTGCCTAGGGCTTCCCCTTTCATTGCACATTTTTAATGATGGCGATGGATATTGGCACCCGTAGACCTCAAATCTCTCTCTCTCTCTCTCTCTCTCTCTCTCTCTCTCTCTCTCTCTCTCTCTCTCTCTCTCTCCAACTCTGTGTGTGTGTGTGTGTGTGTGTGTGTGTGTGTGTGTGTGTGTGTGTGTGTGTGTGTGTGTGTGTGAGTGTGTGTCATACACAGATCCCACTGCGGTGCCCGCTGGTAGGGTTAGAGGTCCTAGGGGTTAGCGGGTCAGTTTAAGGGCGACACATGCCCAGTTGAGCAATGTGCAATGACTTGCTGTTTTCTGGTCGCCTGTAGCCTCTCTCTGTCGAGGCTGTACTATAGGTAGGATAGATTCGTAATTTTGTTTGGCTGAGGGCTAACCGAGAGACCTACCTGTGAGGGAAATTCTTGAGGGACATATCTGCAAATCCGGGAAAATACAGGCCCGGTACTAACAGGTTCCCTACAGCTACCTAACTGCGCATAGCAGGCCCGGGACACCCTAGGACAGACAGGCCCTAAGGGCCTATTCTGATAGGCGGTCCTATAGCCTATAGCCGGGTCCGGTAGAGGCCGAGAGGCCGAAACAGAAACGGTACCGGTCGGTCGGTCAGTCCGGTCTAGGTCGGTGTTACATCTTCGACTCACACGGGTCCTACCGGACCCGACTTAGGGCCGGAGGGACACACCAGGGCCTAAAGGCCCGACCTTTGGGGTTTACAGGCCCTAAAGGCCTGATTTCGGACTATCACCCATCGGGTAGGCCCAAACGACACTTCGTTTGGGCCTGGCGGCGCTCTTGAAGCTGCCGCCCGCCGATTGAGGCTGAACCGTCCATCTGGACGGTTCAGGGTCTTGCCTGGCCTCGCAACATTGAGGCCAGACCATTGCCCACCGGTATAAGTACCGGTATCCGCCTCAGTAGTGGGATCGGCCTACCGGAACTCTACCGGCACGGCATGGTCAGTGCTAGTGCACTGTTTTGATGCGCTAAACTTAGCRCAGGGGCTGAAGCAGGAGCGCAGCATAGCGCAGCAGCGAGCTGAGCAGCAGCGGGCGACTGAGCTTGCACGGCGGTTATCACCGCCTGAGGTATCGGGAGCTTGGAGGGTCTCTCCTCCTCTCCCTCGCCAGTCCCCTCTCTCTCTCTCTCCTCTTCCTCCTTCTTCCTCCTTCTTCTTCTTCTCCTTCTTCTTCTTCTTCTTCTTCTTCTTCTTCTTCAGATTGGAGACTATCCAGTTGGACAGAGATCAGTGTTGGATATCGGTGATACGAGACTGTGGTACTTACCTGATTGGAGACTTGGAGATTGTTGAGGTTGATACTCGGCTGCATCACAGTTGGACACCGGTTACATCTGGACTC